TTTTGATAAATAATTCGTTCTTATTGCGAAATGGGAGCACTATTTATCAATCTGTAATAAAAAACGTGAGGAAATTCTGTCTTTTTTAAAGACAAAAATTTTTGAGGCGAAATACCCAAAAAGAAGTTTGTAAAAAAATGAATCCGCCTCAACAATATAGAACTTATCTATAGAAGAATCGGTCGCGTCAACCTTTATTTAATATTGCAAAAAAATATTTCGTAAATATCTGATTTAAATGTAAAATATATATTTTTAAATAATGTTTCTCAAATATCTGATTTAAATGTCAAAGAAATATTGTTATAATATTCAAGAATCTGTCGCTTCAACCTATATTAAATATTGCAAAAAAATATTACTGTAATATTTGTGTGCTATCTGGGTAGGGAAGTTTATAAACTACCCGCTTCATCGCTGCCGCTGCTTGCAGGGGGTCCAAGCAGAGCCGGGGGAAAAGTGCAGCATTTACTCCCTGGACTTATCAAAGGACCAAAAGCTCGCGCTGAAAATGACCTACAACACCTTGACCTGGACTGGCCAGCTAACGGTAACTGGACACTTGGACGACAAGCTCATAGTGATGGTTTCTGACCAGAAAAGCGAGCGAAAGGACATGCAGATTAACGTGAAGTGCGACAGAGAGGGCGGCTGCAATTTGCTGTTCTACTCGCCCTATTGGATCGTGAACAAAACCGGCCTACCACTCAAAGTGAAGGTGAGCTGCGCCACTCATTTCCTCCTGGTGCATGTATTAAAATCCAATAAACTCAGGCATCGCTGGCCCAAAACGTCCAGGACTGTCCCAACGATGACATACTACTTTTCGCCTACAAAAGACACAGCAAACAGACGCTGAACGTTCGAGTCTACGACTCGATGTGGTCTAATGATGTCTGTGCGGAATGCGCCGGAACCACCGGACTGATCGTGTGCAAAGACACCGAAAGAAAGAAGAAATACATGCTCTTCATGAACGCGACTTTGAGCAACTTCTGCCCGAGGCTGACCAAAACGGTTACCATTCTGCCCAGCTTCTTGGTAACCAACAACACGCCCAAACGCCTAAGGTGAGCCCGCAGTTCGCTTCTAAACCCTCCGGCTAATCTGGAGTTGATTGAAGATTCATGGAAGACAATGAAAAAACTGACCTGTGGACCGATCTGGAGCCCAGTCAAACGGCGATTTATTGGCCCGACACCACGTCGATGCAGATTTTCGTCAAGTACCGGGAAAGCAACTTGATTTCGCAAGCAATATTCATATCCAGGCACCACAGGACAGTGCTTCGGATGGACAAGGGGGTAAGTCGTCCATCGGCCAACTCACAATTGAGAGAACAATAATCCTCTCTCTTGCAGACTGCGATTACTGCAGTAACAAGCGGAGGGACTTCCGGCCCCTTCCACATATCATTCAACCAGTACAAGCCGGGCGACTGTCCAGTGCTGATCAAAAACTACTGTCCCGACCTCTACTTGAAAATCCAGCAGAAAGACCAAAGCCACGTCAGTCTGCTGAACCCCAACCACAGCCTGCTCTACACTTGGGACAACCCAATCATGTCCAGAGTGCTGACCTGGAACATCTACAACAACAAGGGAAGCGGATTTGTGCTGGATATCTGCAAGGATGGCTATGGGGAGCAGAAGATCAAGTTCCAGTCAGTGAAGAGCAGCGCCAGCAAGCAGGAGTTGTCGTCCAGCGAAGACTCGGACAGTTCCAGCAGCACCCCGAATAAATTGAACAAAAAAGTCCGGAAGGACAAGCTGGTCATCTATTGGGCCTGCTATGTGTAAGCTCAGGCACAATCAAGCGAGGCTAATGAAAAATTTGTTTCACCTTGCAGGGAAGGGGCGCAGAAAATCCTGCTGTTCACTCAGGAGCAGAGGATTTTCGAGAACGTGCTGGCCACTCGGTTTCAAGAGCTCTGCACAGTGGAAGCGCTGACTTCCCTGCCTGGCATCGGCCTGTCCCTTTTCACCTCAGACGTCGACAAAAAGGAGCATTTCTACGCCAGTTTATGTGATTCGCCGGCAATTTGGGAGGTACTAAGCGTTCAACAGCGCTGTCGATCGAGCAGTTTTCCTCAGTTGAGGCTGTTGCAGGTAAACGTGGGCGAAAAGTGGAAAACCCTCACCTTGGAACTGGCCGCCTGGATCGAGGACAAATACGCAAGAGCCACCAGCCACAAGAAGTGCCAAGTGCGCGACTACGTCCACATAGACTTTGAGAAAATGTTCATGCTGAAGCCATTCTTCGCGGAAATGAGACGCACCTACACACCAGCTATTTATTGCCACTTTAGACGCTCCCCCAAGTTCCACTCGATGGACTTTCGCCTCAACTATCTCCAGATCGATAACAAGCACAGCAATTGCATAGTTTTCCAGCCGATTTTCCACGCCAACGACCATCAAGAGCCGCTGCTTAGGGTGGCGCTCCTAAAGCAAATCGAGCAGGACTTTCACAGCTACCGATATATCAACATCCACTTCGGGGACGTTTGTGTGAACATTGAAAACGACCTCTGGACCAAAGTGGCGGGCCTTTTGAAGGAGAACAAGAAGTTTGGAAGGGACTACAGTTGCGCTTCGGCCTACATCGTCGACATAACGGCGATCAGGAAGAACTTAACAGCAAAACCCAACAACGTGAGCTCGAAACCCTGTCAACAAGTTTTCTCAGACTGTTTCAACATTTCGCCTGAAAAAATGTTTGTCTGTAAAA